GTAAAAAAAAAAAAAAAAAAAAATACGAAACGTATTAACGATACCTCTTTAATACATATAATGAATGAACATATAAAAATTACACTGGAGAAAAATTTTGAGAAACCAAAGATTTAACTTTCGTTTCCTCGTCAAAACTTATTCTAACAATATTATATAATTATATTTCAGAATCGAAATAAAAGTTTTGAATTCCACGTCGAAAATAAATAACTTGTACAACATTTATAATAGCATAAAATAGAGGACAGAAGGTTAAATCTTTTCTTTATTACCGATCGAACCTCCGTTACTCCGTACAATTATTCATACAATTAGAGAGTTCGTTTTTATGCCTAACAGTTCTTTCTCTTCCCCCTCCCCTCCCCTCTCTCTCTTCCACCTTATTCTCATTCGCTTCTCCGTCATCGTTTCTTCGATTGCGCAATCCTCTTCCATTCACGCAATGCCTTTCTTTTTTTTTCCCCCTTTTCTTCTTCTCCTTTTTTTTTTTTTTATTATCATCCTTACCATTGTCATTAATATTCTTCTCCCGCTTATTCTTTAACGAACTTATTCTTTAATCGAACGAAACGAATCCTTTCGATCGATGATCTATCGAGACAGAAATATCCGATTGATACATTCTTGTTTGCTCCTCGTTTTCGTTAATTATATACACAACGTATGTATGCGACGTGCAACTGTACTAACAGGCCACGATGCAGTCATCGACGAAGTTAATCGATGAGTACGTTGCCATCGATCGAACTGCAAACGAATTACGATTCCACGACACGAAATATATATATATAAATCGTGTGTTTCGTAGAGGCTACAATTGGTACAAATGAATATTCTCTAAGATAGAGAGAAAGAAAAAAAATTCTTCTCGTTTTGCTCATATGCTATTATACAGTTCACGTAGCAATAGAATTTAAAAGAATCTTCGATAGGAAAGATTTTAAAAACTTAATGCTTTTTGCTTCTCGAGTAGAGTCCTATATTTTTTTTTTTTAAATTCTATTTACATGATTCATTCTGTACGTACGTAAGAATACGTAGATGTCTCTCCCCGAAAACCAACGATGATTCAACGAGAAAAAAATAGTCGAAGTATTTTTCGATACGGTCGCCATCTATTCATCGATCATCCGAGGTTGCGGTTACGTAATCGAAAAACCTTTACATACACGCTCACATAGAAGGGGCGCTTTCGCGCGACGGAAATAACAAAAGCGTTTGGAAAGTGGACGTCGCGTACAAGTGTTTCGTGCGTGTTCCGGTGTCGAGGGTATCGTATTTAATATCTACGATAGAAGAGAATGAAAATTTGGGGAATATTACACGAGAAACACGTGGATCGTATGCATGAAAATAAATGAACGATTATATCTAATTATCATCGATAAATAAACGAATCGTTGTTAAAACGAAAAAGCGAATAATGGATTTTTTTTTTATAAACTTTCACCAGTACTAGATAGCAAATGGTTCAAAAGAGATTTCAAGTAAATGCAAGTTATATTCGATAAATAATATTTCAATCCTCTGTCGGAATCGATTTATTATTTAAAAAATTATCAGATAAAAGTATTTACTCGCCTTTATGCACACAATCTATTTTAATTAATTTTTAGAAATTTTTCCCTCGCGTTGTTAAGACGTTGTACGCATCGTTGTATTCGGATCAACGACTCTAAAAATTTTCCGCGATGAAGGTTAGGATGCAGCTTATGGATGTGGAAAAAAAAAATATTACTTTTAAAAAGCGAGATACAGAAAACGAATCAAACGATACGGGGGAATATATTAATACGAAATAATACTTATTAAATCGGTTATATCGTTTTCGTGAACAAGATTTTAATCATAATGCGAATTTCACGAAATTTAAAAGAGTCAACGATGCGTCAACGTGTGTGTGTGTGTAAGCTGTTTTATACAAGCGGTGTACAAGTGTATAATCATGGTCGATTGTCAGGGAGAGAAATTACGTACTTAGTTTCTTCTTTCTTTCCTTTCTCTCTCTCTCTTCTCGCCTCTTCGCGGTCAACTTACATTAATCATTTTCATCCGCGCACGCTTTCGCCGCGTACATCGAAGATACGATGAACGAAGAGAGAGAGAGAGAAAAGCTTCTGGTTACTGGGACGAAATGGGAAGAAAGGAGAGTGGGAGGAGAAGGGGAAGAAAAGGATGGAAGAAGGGGAACGCGAAACAAGGGGGTTCATTATATCCTCCCAGTGTCGTAGCACTTCCATTGTTTCTTCTCAGGGACGTGCTGTGTGTGACGCGCGGGGATTCGCTCGACTACCACTTTTCTCTCTCTCTCTCTCTCTTTTAAATTTATTTTTCTTTCTTATTTTTGAACAACTATCATTACGATTAATCATCTCTCTTTCTCTCGAACAAACTTTCGAGCACTTTCTTTTTTTTGACGAATTGTAACTATGTTAAGAATGAAAAGAAAATGAAATCTCTCTCTGTCTCTCTAACGCGAAACCTTTGACAATGCGAATTTCATCTGGAGCGCGGACGGACAACGGGCATTGAACGAGATCGCTTCAAGGTTGATGAATCATCGCGAAACTTTATCCAATGCAATATTCTGAAAAAGGAACGAGATCGTCGGACGCCGATAACGTTGTTATAAATTTCTCAATAAGAATGATCGCCCATTGAAACGCGTAACCCGATCGTTCCGCCGAGACGATTATTATTATTATTTATTTATTTATTTATTTTTTTGGAACGTTACACTTCGCGAGATCAACGGTATACTATTCCACTTGGATAGTGGACGATTAACGAGTCGATTTATACGAAAGCGGTTTTTTTAAGTATTTAATATTTTTGAAATTAAAAATTATTTCAACGTTCAAAGTTAATTTGAAAATCGCTTGTCGGAAGGGGAGGGGGGAGAAGTTAACGATTGATAAAATTTGTCGACTCATTCTGTGAATCAGTATTTTTAAATTATAATTTAAATATGCGCATTTTTTTTTTTCCATTTTCATTTTCCCAACGTTTTTACGAGGAATTTAGAAACACGATTATTTTTTTTTTTCCTCTTCATCGTATTTTCTTTAATTCTTCGAGAATTATTTTTTTTTTTTTTTTTACAAGGAATTTACAAAAACAAAGACAATTTTCTTCAATTTTTTCTCATCATATTTCCTTTAATCTCAAGAATTTTTCCTTTTTTTTTTTTTTTTTTTTTTTCAATACTTGAATGTTATAAAAATGGTTACAAATTAAAAAGTAAATCGCTCGAAGTGTCCGCTCTTCTTTTTTGTTTTTTTTTTTGTACAAAGAAAGATAAGAAAAAGTATAACAACTAGATCGATCGTGAACGAATCCCATCTGGCGATTTAAAAGATTCTTTCTTCGAAATGGCGGCCATGATGATTCTTCGGAGGATGATTCTTCATCGGAGGATGCACAGGTACTTTGTCTGGTGATGCGCTCGAATAAATATTAAGCTATTTACAAAGCGATGAACGATATTGCTCCTCGTATTATCGGCAGATTTTTTTTTTCGTGAAAATGATATCGTTTTTAATGAAACAATCTTTGTACATATATATATATATATATATCATATATATATGATATATATATATATATCATTGCCTCGAAATATAATATCGATCGACGAATTCGTAAAGAAAAATTTTTCACAAAGAAGGATATTTTTAAATATATCGGAAAAAAAAATATACACGTACAAGAGATTGAATGCAAATATGTATGCAAATATGAGAATGTATTTACGATGATGCGAGTCTC